AATCATTAAATGAAGAATTTGCCAATTTTTTTTTGAGTTATCGAGTGTAAATCAATGTTATGCCTTTTACTACACCACACCTGCTACCCACTTTCTTTGTTATTGGTTCAAAAAAGCCTAAACATTCCTTTTCTTATTCTTACTCTGCTTCATCCTATGGCTGCTCTTTAATATGTTCTAAAACCGCCAACCCTTGTTGTTACTTATTCATAGAGCTTTTCTTTTTCTGCTTTCCTATGATATGGATTTGGTTGATTCTCCTGTGGTATCGACTGCCTTTGTTCGGCTGAGACTTCCGCGTCTGCGGATTCTCTAGTAGCTGCTCTAGCGTCTGCTTCGTCGGGTGCTGAATCGGATGCTTTATCTGCGCGGTTTGAAACTCTTTGGAAAAGAAAATGCTTTGCCCAGGAATTTAAAGTCAAGTAGAAAATCTTATTCTATTTGGATTCCCAACATGCAGAAGTACAAAACCAATTCACATAGAAACTAGAGTGAGTTGGATGGAACCCGATGATCTTCGAGGCCAAAGGGAGCTAGAGTGGAAGCTGGCACGGAGTAGGAGCTCCAGCTCGCAAGCCACCACAATATAGGAAAAAGAATAAGCAAGAGGAGAAGGATGTGCCTCAGGTGCGGAGACCTGTTTAGAAGGTGAGCCTGCAGAGTAAGATGCAACCGGGCATGAAGCAGCAAGTGCTGTAGATCTGGTATAACTTCTTCTCGGATATGTTTGGTTAAGTGAGGTGGCGTACCAAGCCGAACCACACGGGTCAAGTACAAAGAACCAAATATCCGGACTTCGGAGTTAGAATCATAATTCAAAAAAGGTTTTTGTTCGCTCCACAGGAACGAACTAGTCGAGATGTATGTGGTGCCCTTTCTTTCATTCACATTGATTGGTGAGGTTGCTTGATTGTAGGGGCCGGGAAAGGGTCTGCCACCACTGACTCAGATTTTTTTGTAATCGATGTAGCTTCGTCGTCTGCCTCGGGATCGGTAGTGTTCCCCCATTCCTTAGTCTTCGCTTAAAGGATGTTGATGTTTCTTTTATTTAAGATACAATCTATAAGTAAGTTACCAAAACTTTTTGTGTTGTAGACGGCGAAGAGTCAATAGAAATAGAATAGGAATCCCTAGAGAAGAGAGTTCCCAAAAGGAGAAGGGGAATTGACCAGTTCTGGAATTAACAACTACAAAAATCACATCCAATTTTAGCGGCATCCAAAGCGACTTTTGAACCTTTCTTAAGCTCAGAGCAGAGTAGCTGGAAGTCAAGTAGAAGAATGAGTCTAGCGACCAGGAAACATAGATAGCAAAGGCGGAGATGGTACTTTAACAGTCAAAGGAGGATCATATGCTTATAACATGCAATTTGAAATCACGTACTTAGCCCGGGGTTGCCCCGAATCCACTAATCAATTAGGTAATGTTGGCGAATCTTCTGATTATCGAGTTTCAATTCGACAAGTACCAACAGGCCCAAAAAGACGAAAAAAAGGCCTTGCATACTCGAGAAGTCAATAGCAACCACTCTTACTTATGATATTCTTTACTTTCCTTGTTAAGGTCCCGCGGTAAAGTAAAAAAAAAGCTATAAGTAGGCTCGCTATTGCGAGCTATACGAGTTGTTTTCCTTTATACGACTTCGCTATAGCTCCTATGAAGTGGTGGGCGCCTTCTAGAAGCTTTGCCAAAAGCAAGATGAGGTCGCTCTCCTTCGCTCGTTCCGTACTTGACTTACGAGCTCGTGTAGTACTCGCCCCTATCTCTAAAGGGGCTTATGCACTCTACTCGCTGTCTACTAAACGAGCGTTAGGGTGAGCGAAGCCTTCCTTTGAGTTCCCCCCTTATCCCTCACCCTACTCCTTCATTTATGCTTAAGCTTCCCCTATTTGTGGGATTAATTGATTGGATACCCGAGAACCATAATCTTTACTAGGAACAGCTTCTACGACGATAGGCGTAAAGGCATGATTAGTTCCACAAATCTCACTGCACTGACCATAGTAAACCCCTTCTCGTTGTACCGAAATAGAGATCTGATTTAAACGACCAGGTACAACATCACATTTGACACCTAAGGAAGGTACAACCCAACTATGAGGTACATCAGCAGGTGTTACAATAATACGTATATGAGTTTTGGCTGGTACAACCACTCTATTGTCCACTTCTAATAAACATGATTGACCCAATTCTAGATCATCTTCTGGAATCGCATAACTGTCAAAAGTGAGTGACTGTTCATCGAAACTGTTATAGTCTGAATACTCATAAGTCCGATACCATTGATGTCCAATAGCTTTGATAGTAATGGCTGGATCTACCACTACCTCGTCCATTGAGTATAACAGAGCAAATGATGGTATAGCAATGAACATCGGGATGATACTAGGAAATATGGTCCAAAGAATCTCGATAGTAGTTCCATGAACAATCCTTTGCGGGATTGGATTTTTTTGATAGTGAAAATGCCATAAAGCACGAACCAAGATCCGTGATACGAAAACCAAAATCAGAATGAGGAAGAAAAAGATATCGTGATGTAAGTCTATTATTCCTTGCATCATAGGTGTTGCTGCGTCTTGAAATCCTAATTGCCATGGTTCCGCTACATCACAAGAAGCTAAAGTATAAATAAGTTTGAAAGCCAGATAGGCGAGAATGAAGACTTTACAAAAATGCCCAACCTTTTCCTTTTTTAACCATTCAAATGCTTTTTTTAGGGATTCCATTTTCTTTTTTTCTTTCTTTTCTTGTTTCCGCCCCCCCAAATGAAGAAAGACTTGTCGGAAATCGCCTTGCCTAAACGGTTCACTTCTCCTTTCTAGAAATGAATTCATTCTATTGAGTTGTGGTTGGTTGTTGACCGACAAACAAAAAGCATGGGAGAAAGAAAGATGCACAAACAAACGAAACTGGAAACAAGGAAGGTAGAAGGAGCTATATCAACTACCTAGACCGACCTGCTATAAAAATTCCATAAACACCTAGCAAAGATACTGTACTGAATGACTGGATCGATCGTACTAGATAGAGAGTCTCAGATAGACAACCTTTCATACGCAATTCCTCAATCGTACTAGATAGAGAGTCTCACTGCCTGTCCAATTATCAGTCCACAAGTTAATCGACCAGCCCTCTCCAATCTCCCACTTAGCCATCTTGATTGTTTCTTTCCATACATGCCCCAAGTCTCGCCAGAGTTTATAATCATATGGCTTGCAAGAAATCTTTCTTCTAAGGTCGCATCCCCTCCCATACTTTGCCAATAAAACATGCACCCAGAGTGCCTCACGATTTAGGATGATATTCCAGAAAAGCTTCACCATATATGCTGTATTCTAGGCTCGAAGGTTTAAGATTCCAAGGCCACCTAACTCCTTAGGACGACTGACTTGATTCCAAGCAACGTGATGCATTCTTTTATTTTCTGTCCCTCCCTATATAAACCTCCTTTGATGAGCTTCAATCTCGTCACAAAGAGTAACAGGAAGAAGAGAGTGTTGCATTTTGAAGCTTGGGATTGTTGAGATGACTGAACGAGCTAGAGTAACTCTCCCAGCCATGGATAGGTATCTGGTCTTCCACCCATTTAATCGACTGTGTATACGCTCCATAATCTCAGAGTATGATATTTTGGTTACTCTCCCTTGTTTAATAGTTACCCCAAGGTATTTGCCCATTTTCCTTACCCTCTTAAAGCTGCATTTATCACAAATTTCTTTGGCCAGATCTTCATTTGTATTCCGTGAGAACATGACGACACTTTTGCCAGTGCTGACAAGTTGGCTGGAAGCTTCACAAAAATCATTTAAGCAAGATTTAATTACATACATTTGGTCCAGACTGGCTTCCACAAAGAACTAAACATCATGCGCAAACAAAAGGTGGGAGATACTAGGCCCCCCTTTCTACCTGTTTTGAAAGGTTTCCATCTTCCAGATTCAACTGCATCCGCAATAAGATGTGAAAGTTTTTTCATGCATAGAACAAATAAATATGGTGATAATGGGTCCCCCTGCCTGATCCCTCGACCTGGAATGAAACTCTCAGATTTGAACCCATTCCACAAGACCCTGAAGGAGGACATTTTAATACAATTCATAATAATCTGTATGAAGCTCGTGGGGATATTTGCATCTTCAAGAACTTTCTTAATGAAAGACCAGCTCAAACGATCATATGCTTTAGCTAGATCAATTTTAATTGCCATAAGACCACGCTTCCCTTTCCCGCATTCCATCAAATGAACCATCTCCTGGGCGATTATTATATTGTCTTGTATATGCCTTTTCGGGACGAAACTGGCTTGGAAGGGTGAGATAAGGTTTTCTAGGATGGGCTTCAATCTGTGCACAATGGATTTTGTGATTATTTTATAAATCACGTTACATAAGGAAATCGGGTGAAACTGGGAGATATGTTCCGATTTGGGGCCCTTTAGAATTAAGACGAGGAAGGTGCTGTTTATATCTTTTATTGCACTTGGTTGGAGGATAAATCTCTTTATTTGGCTACATATATGGTCTTTGAGGAAGTTCCAATTTTGCTGGTAAAAGAAGGTAGGGAATCCATCTTCACCGGGAGCCTTGAAAGCACCTATGCTGAAAAGAGCCTTTTCTATTTCCATGTCAATGAAAGGGCTGTCCAGTATTTGATATTGCACCTGTTCCAGGGGAGGCCAACTGTTTCTCGTTAGAGACCATTCCCTATCTTGTCTGTCTTCATTAAAAAGTTCCTTGTAAAATGTTGTGGCCATGTTTTGGAGGGAACTACCATCACGAACCCATTGGCCCGTGTCATCTTTTAACTCCAGAATTCTATTTCAACTTCTCCTTGTCAAAGTTTTAATATGATAGTATTTAGTGTTACGATCAGTCGATCACCATCAGTTAACCATTTTATTCTTGACTTCTGATACCAAAGTAGTTCCTTTTGTGCAAGAATCGTATCAAGCTGATGTTCAATATCCTTTGCCAACTTCTCCAAATGGGGACTGGTCACCTGGTCCATTTTTTTTGGACTTTAGCTAGCTTTGATAGGGTCAAGTTCTTACGGTGTGTGATATTGCCAAAGCTAGTCTTATTCCAATCCGTCAAAGAATATGACAGCTGTTTTAGATTAGCATGCATCTGCCTTTCTCGATTCCAGTTATTAGAGAGGATGGACTGAAACTCTTCGTGATCTTGCCATGCAGCAATAAAGCGAAAGGGCTGAGTACCATTTGTTTCACTAGCCTCATCGCATCTTATAAGAATTGGACAATGATCTGAATGCACCCTTGGAAGGTTTCTTACTGAAGCACTTGGGAAGCTAGTCATCCACTCAGCGTTAGCGCAAGCCCTATCAAGCCTCTTAAATACCCTCTCGAGGTGAAGGAACTTGGGTCCTCTCCATGTAAAAAATAGCCCCATTCCTCCCAGATCAATCATCCCACAATCTTCCAGCACATCACATACCATATTAATTATAATACTTAGATAGCGTTAAATTGGAAAATCAACTCAATTAATTATATATAATCTATCTATATTTATCTATTTATATTTTAAATAAAAAATTTCACAATAATGTCACATCACATTATTTAAATCTTACTTTTAAATTTTTAATTCACTAATTTGGTTATTTGTTTATTAATCTTATTTATCTTTTTCCTATTTTTCATATTTTAACCTTTTAATTTTTGTTTTCTGTTTTAAAAATTTTCAATACATTTTTTAAAAAAGAATGACGTAAAGTGAATTAATTTTTTTATCATAATAAAAATAATTTTTATTATTACTATTAAAGATAAATAAAAAACAATAAACAATGATATGATGTTTATTAAGAATTGTTTTTACTTATTTCTAAATTTATCATATATCGATTTTATTATTACAAGTTCAAATATAAAATATATTAGTACATTAGTTATTAAGTTAAATGTATGAGATGCATGAAAGTTTTATGAACATATGTAAGATAAAAATTAAAATTTTACATAATATAAATAAATTTTTATTAAGTTTTTAAATTTTTTAACGACCGAATTAGTTTTTTAGATAAAATAATAAAATTTAAAATAAAATAATTAAAAATTATTTTCTAAAACCGAAAATTTTTATGTAATAATTAAAAATATATAGTATATTTTAAATAAATTTAATTAATATGCCAAATTAAATATCACAGTTTTTATTTAATTTTATATAGAAAATAAAAATTTAAATAATTATTCAAGTCATATAATTTACTAAAATTTAAAAATGAGGCTTCAATTATAAGTATGTTTTGATTATTAATTTTGCACTATTTTTTTAAACATATTATTTTTTAAATATTTTCACAATAAGATTTTCAAAGAAATATAAATTAGTTGAAACATAAGTTAAATATTTATGTAATGACTTACCATATATATATATATATATATATATATATATATATATATATACATAAAAATATTTCTGCAGTTAATGCATATAAGTTATCTGCATTTACTTCGAAAGCGACATTCTTTTAGAATTGAAAGATTAGAAAATTATAATTATAAAGACTATACTAATCCTGAAATAAATTAAAATTACAAAATACCATGATTTCTGCCCCAAAATGACGTTGTATTGGACTTACTGCAGATAACTTATGTGCAGTAACTGCAGAAAAACGAACATATATATATATACATATATATATATATATATACATATGTATATATAGCACGATCATTCGACACCGGTGTCAAGTTTTGAAATTTGACACTAAATCCTAATCGTTGATTTCTGCCAATCAACGGTTATCATTTATTGCAGATAACTTATTTGCAGTTTGATTCCCAATAAATGATATCAACTGTTAAGATTTGGTGTCAAATTTTAAAGTTTGACACATATGTCAAAGGATCTTTTCCCCTCTCTCTCTATATTTATTTATGTATTGAATTATCCTTGCAGTACACGGATCATATCATTGTAACCTTATCTTGAGTGGATAATGCTTAGTGCCCGTTTGGATGAGCTTTTATTCCTAAAAAAGTTACTTTTTTTAGAAATAAAAGTCATTTTGAGAATTTTTAGATGTTTGGGTAACAACTTTAAAAAAAAAAATTAAAATAAAAGTTAAAATGCTGCTTTTTTTACAGCCAGTAGTTGGTTGCTTTTGAAAAAATGCAGAAATTAAAAGATAATATATTTTTTTTTATTCCTTTTAAAAAACTTATTCAATTATCATAAAAAATTAATCATGTTTTTCAATTAAAAATATTTTTTCTTGAAAATATCACAAACAAAAGGTCCAAGGAACGGCTTGTTGGCTTGTGCATTTCATTTTGAGGCGCTATTGATTTTAGGGTGGGGATATCCTTTGTGTGGAAGGGAACACTAATGGGGGATTAGCAAGTCTGTTGAGAAAACGAAGAAACGTATCTGTATAGAACTCCAATTGCTTGAGATCCAAATTTTCAAACTGTTCACAATTGAACTCTTGCGAATTCTCTTTGAGAGTTAAGTTTTTGGTCGGTACACACAACAGAATGGAATCAAAGTTGCTAAAACGGAATCTATTTTCAGTTTACAATTTAGTAGTTTTGAAAATAGTACAAGTCATTATATTACTTGGTATATGTATATAATATAAAATGAAATTGGTCGGATCATAAGAAATGGAGCCTAATTACATACTATTGAGCCTCATTCAAGTTGATAAATTATGGTCTTGTACCTTGTTATCTCTATGATCGATGGCTACTATGCGGGATGAAAGTTGACCACATTGGAATAGGATAAGGTGAGTACCTGCAAGATATTCCGATTAAACGAGCTCAAGTAATATTGAAAAGATGAATGCATCTAGATCTTGGCCTCTTTACTTTTATTTTGTGATTTGACCTGTTTGTAGGCTCAATGGATCACTTTTGTGTGGTGGTTTAGTTGATATGACTTACGATTGATCTATTTGGGTGGACTTCATAACTTATTTCTTTACACAGTATGCCTCTTGGTGAGTTACATTATTGAGGCTTAATTAGAAATCCGTCTTCACCATTCGGTGATTGATTGTGTGAAGTGGTGATCAGGTTTGAGCTGTTAAGTAATTCACGAGATTGCGTGTACATACATCCTATGTGTTTCTTACCAAATAAGGTTTGGTTTGGATTTGATGACCTAGATCCCGTATTAGGTTCTCACCCTAATTTAGTTGGCTTCAATGGTCCATATTTCAGATACATATCAAAAATCAAATTTGATATATATAGTATAAACACTCCTGATTATACTTGAAAATTTCTTAGCTAACCATGATTGATGAATCTTTTTTAATTGGTGATTTGATGTAACTTTTTCTTGGGCCTTTAAGCGAACAGAAGGGAATGTACTTGGAAGACACTTCGATATTCAAGTTAGAATTTATTTAAGCATATTTAAGCTAACCAACTTGTGTTGGATGCTCGTGATTGTTCCTCGCAAGTGGGTGAGGTGGCAAAATCTACCTTTTGGCTATAGGTGTAATAGGTGGTTTGAGATGAGATTGTAGAGAAACATAAAAATATTAGCAATTATGGTTTGCTGAGATATCTTCTAGATAAGCTTTCTGTTGGAATGGTACGGGGGAGCCCAAAACCCTTTGCACAGGATTGTTCATCAATGAGCCAAGTGATAAACCATAAAAAATGGGCCAACACCACATCTCACCCCAAAACCTTACGGCTGTAAGTTTATGGGTCTTTTGCACTTATATGGTCATCACTTGGTCTATGTCTAGCCAATGTGGTACTTCTTTACAACTCATACTTGAATACTTCCAACATCTTCCCCTCAAGTATGAGACCCAACATCATACTTGATATGCATTCAGCATATAGGGAAATCTAAGCCAAAAAGAGAAAGAATGTGGATTAATCTTAAGCAAAAAGGGAAAATATTACTGATAATCTGTTAAAATCTCAATCAGAGATTGCATATTGATTTTGTGTTGAATTCGTAGGAAAAATAGACAAACTAGAGCTAAAAAGGAAATTGCTAAACTGAAGGCCCATGCTGAGAGCGTGGGGATGACGTTGTAAGCGTGAGAAGACAATTTCAGACAGAGGCATCCACACTACTAGCGTGGGACTCACGCTAGTAGCGCCAGAGATAAAAAACAAGCAGAAGCTACCACGCTACTAGCGTGGAATTGACGCTAGTAGCGCCAGACTCTCAAGCAGTCCACGCTTGAAGCGCGGTAACCACACTAGTTGCATGGAGCTCCAGGATTCTTAACAAAAATCCCACGCTCATAGCGTGGGAACCACGCTAGTGGCGTGGGAGGTGCGTCAAATCCCTTTTAAATCAGAGACAAGATTGCACTGAAATTGCGACAAGGATTCAATCAAGATTCTACACAAGGTCAAAGACTCTATAAATAGAGACTCAGACCTCAAGAGAAAAGAACTTTTTGCAAGGGAAAAATTGCGGGCAACAGGAATCGAAGCAAGCTTTCGGTGACTGAAGATCAAGATTTCTTCTTCTCAATTCTTCCGGTTATTCTTTTGTTTTATGAATTCTTTTGAATATTTTAAATTGTCAGACATGAATATGTCTGGCTAGTCTTTTATATTGTGGTAAGGGTCACAACCCTTGATGTGAACCCCTTGTATTTTGGTTAAGTTTATAGTTAATTATTTCAATTGAATTTATTTTACTCTGTTCTTCATCCATAATTCTTTTAGAATTGGCCACTTCATTAGGATTGCGAGGGTTAGGGTTTTCAATAGGAATATTGGGATTCTAATTCCTGACAAAGGGTTAAATAGTTGTTCATGTATGCACTAGGGATAGGCTACATGAACTGCAAACGTGGGAAATTCACTGGGCTAAAAGATTAACTTGAAAAAGAATTTCTAAGGGATTAGGATTCTAATAGGGTTAATAAAGTTAAGATCACTAAGGGATTAAGGCTTAACTAATTAATTATACATGGTGAATTGTTTGATGAATTGGGTAATTAAATATAAATATTAATCAAGATTACAAGGTGGGGATTGGAAAGGAGTTGACGTCCTTTAATGCAATAGTCTTTTAATATTTTTCTCAAATCTCAACCTTTTACTTTAAAGTTTTCAAACTTCTCTTAGAATTGTTCACGAAATATTGAATAGTTCATAATTGTCACAACACAAATACTTCAAAAATCAACTTTTGTTCATCCAATAAGAAAGGGATAGTTAAATTAAATTTGGTTCCTCAATCCCCGTGGGACGATATTCTTACTCACTTTTTATTACTTGGTACGATCGGTGCACTTGCCGATTTTACGCAACAAGTTTTTGGCGCCGTTGCCGGGGATTAACTACGCCTAATTTATTTTTAACTTTTGAATTTCTTGATTGGATTCTGTTTTGTTACTAATCTTTTTGCTGTAGTTTATGCGAGGTAAAGTTGATCGAGATTCCTTACAGTTTGATCCAGATTTCGAGAAAACTGCAAAGAAAAATCGAAAG